CCCCAAAACCCCAAAACCCCAAAACCCCAAAACCCCGTGCCTATAAATTTTGATTGAAATACTCAATAATATTAATATATGAGCTCAAAAATCTTAGTCAACTCATTTTATACCAACCAAAATATTTGGGATGGTGACTGCCAAGCTATTGAAGAGGATGATTGTACTCCTCAGATTCCTAATGCAACCAGACAATTTATGAACACTTTGAAAGATAACAAAGGCAAGGTCAACAAGAAAGATTTCGAAGATGGATATTGAAACACTAATCCTACCATCGGACCCTGAGGTCAAGAAGAGCCTTCTACCTCTCAGATCATCACCAAGAACTCTGAAATCAGATTAAAGTATAAAAAAAGATGGCAATTTTTGAAGCCGAAGACACATTATGTGAGTTTGCCAACAAACTGGATCGATCAAAAATCGGACAAGAAGGAACTCCAAGCTCTCAGAAGAGTTCCTTCAAGTGATATTCTAAGGTCTTTGCTTCCTTAGATAAGCTTCCCAAGAGTATGGATGCTTAAATATTTCCTAATTGATCATAACTAATTTCTATAAGCCGATTTTTTACAGCTGTAGTTAATAATGAAGATTTATAATAGTTGAACAGTGGTTTAATACCCGAAATTACTGAAAGTATAGCCTGAGCTAGGAGAAGCCTTTATTATTTCCAGTGGCCAAGCTTTGTAGGGAATTAAGAAAAGAGTTATAAGTTCTTAAACATCAATTTTAATGCTGATATATTTTAGTAGAAAGCCAACTGGTTGGTATAAAAGATGTAAAAACAATAGATTTTTGTTATATTAAGTAGAAGTTCTTCTATTAATAATGGCTTATTCTCATTTGTATTCTTCCCAGCCTGCTTGGGATATTATATAAATTAGCTAGCTCTTGAAGGTCTGCAAACGAAGTTGCTTCACTCGAATATGTATAATATCAATTAAAATTCCTTCAAAAATTTCTATAACCTGATCTCAAAGCACCCACTAGGCATGCTTCAACTGAATGGATAACATGGACAGCTCTCAAGCAGCCATTAACCACCAATAATTCCTACTGACCTTCCTCTCCTCGTAATTTTTTTGACTTTATTATTAATATTCTCGTATTTAAATACTAACAACAAACTGACTGTACCTCTTAATAATCAAGACTGCAATGACAGAGGCCAATATTCACTTTGTTAATATATTTGGAATCCTATTAGGGGAAGGGTGTCCAGTCGTTGAGGAATAAGTGCAGTACATAGTAGGATCTGCTGGTCGCTTCTGGGTAAAGATGCTGCTAGTTCAACTGAGATTAAAACTTTAGATATAAATTACCAATAGCTAAGTATTATAGGCCTTCTTTCTGATATTATCGACAACAAATTATGCATTCAGCTACAAGAAATTATATCATCGATAACCCCATTCTCCTAAAATTTGTTCAAATGCTACACTAAAAGCCTCTCTAAAAATTCTCACATACTGTAAAGCCCATTTGCACGGAACAAACACCAAATGGTGAGCACCCCGGGTCTCTCCTACTCTAAAATATCCAATAATAGCATTTGGAATCAGAAAGAATTTCTGTTGATTTCAATTATCTCAAAATTTTTAGGGGTTTTGGGGTTTTGGGGTTTTGGGGTTTTGGGG